TAATCCAACACGTTAGCTTGGTAGCTTGGATAGCGGAGTACCGGCTATCAGATAATATATTTATCTAGTGTTTGGAACGTAGTTAATATTTATTTATCTGCTACTAAGTAGCTCAATATTTTAATAGTGCAATTGCCATTTAGTTTTGCTTGTTTGGCTTGGTATTTATTGAGACCAGCTACTAGTGGTGTAGTCACTCTACCTATAGTGCACTTGTAATTGTTATCTGGTATTATTATTGAGTGAACTGTTTGATTGTTAGCTTGGGCATTAGAGTTGTGTATTGGATTATAGTGGCCTAGTAGACCCCGCCCGGTGATAACTCGCGTTGTGGTTTTTATTGGCAAGTCGTCGTGTAACTCACCGTGTTTTGGGCACTCTGGGCTTAACTATTGGATAGTTAGGACGAAGCCCGAGTTGCGTAGTCAGCAACGACCCCCTAGGAGTGTGGAGAATCGGCGTAGGCCTGGTAGTGATTATTGCACGTTTGTTTTGGTGACTTGTTTTGACTTGTTCACAGTGCCCGTGTATGAGCCAGTCCTATACCGGTTAGACCCGGCTTTTGGCCTAGTGGTTTCCCTGACCTTATCGCAGACCCTGGAACTTTACCCAGCCATTGTAGGCTGAGCTATCCCCGGCAAACGGTTGCGACTGCACTTACTTGTAATATTTTTCCAGTGCGAAGAAAATTTCGTCGCATATATAACGGCAATATCAATGATAAATTAAGTTAAATTAAGTCGTTCATGCCTACAGCCCAACAATCCTCCTCCTGAGAGTCGCCACAATGTCGTGGAAGAAGTCAACAGATTCAGCGCCGCTGTTGCCATACTTTTGAAGGCGAGACATCGTGCTATTTGCTGTGTAGTTGGTGCGGGTGAATTGCCTCATGAACAGGTCGCCGGATCGGGTGGCTGATGGTGTCTTGAATAAGATCAGACGCAGGATGTCAGGACAGTCAACCTTGCCATAGAGGATATTGTGTAGTAGCACTATATCAGCAGAAAATCTGCGACTTTCAAGAGACTGGAGCCCCAGATCCCGAAAAATGTCTTCAATTGGGACTTGGCGGTAAGGAATTCCGGTCCTGACCCCGACCATTCTAATGAATCTTCTTTGAATGCTCTCTAGTTTTTCAATCAGATATTTTTGGTGAGGGTCCCATACTGGTGAGGCATACTCAAGAATCTGGCACAACAAAGCACAATACAAGGTCTTCAGAGCCTTCATATCGCTCAAGTGTCATGAAAAGCCGAAAACAATTCCAAGCATTCTATTCGCTCTGCTACTGTGTGAATTACGTGGGGCTCGGGGTATAGTGAGGTGTCAAAATAACACCTAGGTCCTTTACCTCCTGCACTCGAGTTATGGGTTCACCACGCACTGTGTATTCAAACACTACAGGAGAATGACAGCGGTGGAAGGTTATTACTTGACACTTCTTGATGTTAAGTTTCATTCTGTTGGTCTGGCACCAGTGGTCAACCATCTGGAGATCCTCCTGTATCCGTAAGCAGTCGTCTTCCGAAGATATGACAGAGAAGATTTTCATATCATCAGCAAAAAGTAGAGAATTCCTCTGAAGAGCCACAGTCAGGTCATTAATAAAGAGAGAAAATTGATAAGGGCCGAGCAATGATCCTTGTGGAACCCCAGAGCAAGAGATAAACTCAGACGAGTTTGCAGATGTACATAATTACATAATAACATAAAATTTCACGTACATCCTTCTGGTTTGGAGGTAGCTGGCCAACCACTTTATTTCACCGTCCCCAAACCCTTAGACAAGCAGCTTCCGTAGGAGGAGAGTGTGATCCACCGTGTCAAACACCTTGGAGAAATCCAGATATACAGCATCCAACTGACTGTTTGTGACAAAGGCTTCTTGCATTTTTGACTGAAGAAGTGTTAAGTTGGTCACAGTATATTTTCCTGCCGTGAAACCATGCTGCTGTGGAGAAATTATTGTAGCCAGTTTGGGCTTGATATGGTCAAGGAAGGTCTGCAAACACTTTGGACACAGCAGGCAGGATTAAGATAGGCCTATAGTTGGTAACATCATTAACAGCTCCTGATTTGTGGATAGGAACGACATAGGCCAATTCAAATGCTTCTGGGAAGATACCAGTTGCCAGTGATGCATTAAATATATCGCATATCGGTTTAGCCAATAAACCGTGACAAAACTTTAACACCATAGGGGGGAATTTGTCTGGACCCCAGCCTTTGGTCTCATCAAGCTTCTTCAATTTGTCTGATATTTCTTGCGGGGTGAGTCTTAGTATTAAAGAGTTTCCAATATAGTCACCAATGGTAGGCGTGAATGCCTCAAGTGGTATCATAAAAACTGAGAAGAAACAGCTCATAAACAATTCACACATCCCTTGAGGTTCATCAGAGACATTTTCATTGTAGAACATGCATGAAGGTATCAAGGTATTATTTATAGCATTTACGTGGCTCCAAAAGAAGCAAACACACATGAATTTAGCAGATGAATTTCTTTTCTTCTTTTTGTTTTCTAAATTTGAGTTTAATTAATTTATTACCTTAATTTTCTTTTGATCATAAGAAAGAAATTTGCTTATTCGGCAGGTTTGCTGTGGTGGAAGTATGCATCAAAATGTTAGGAAAACTGTTTTTGAATCAGTTGTTAGCATCCCTTAATCGTCAAACTTTTTTTCATTTGATCAATTTGATTTCATAGGGGATAGTGTGAAGTTTATAGCCTTACCAGTAAGATAATTGAGAACCTGGGCAAGCAACACCTGCTGCATAATGAGGTCACTATGTACACCTATAGAAATTTGTATATCACCAAAACTATATTTCTTCCTTACGATAACGTTGCAAAAATGTCTCTGTGGGGACAAAAATTACCTAAACTACGATCATTTAGATTTAAAGTTTTTTATTTAAAAAACATTCATCTTCACTTATGGTAAAGTCTAATATGGTAACCTAATTCACATTTTTTTGATGGATAGTATTTCATTTTATAGTAAATATTAGACTCACTAACCACATACTTTGAAAATTAAATGTTAATTACAAAAACTATATTATTAAAATTACGGTTCATTTCTGTGTGCCTATTCTAGACATATTAATTTATTAATCATTAAATGAAGGAATGGGATAAGGAATGCAGTACTCTCTGATGGGTTTCACTCCAGTAAGAACTAGTAACATAGTTGGTTTAGCTTAAGTTTTCACCATGTAACCTAACTTCCCCACCATGATAATGATATTGTACAGTATTAAAGCCGTCATTATTGAAAATTAATATATGATAAAAATACACTGTTTAACCTTACCTAACCCAACCAAACTTCTAGAACAGTTCAAAATTCTGTTTTATACGGCGAAAAGGTATGTGAGAAACATAGGTTTCCACATAGGTGTTATGTGGATTCATAAATATTAAGTCCTCCTAAATATGCACTGATTAGTGATTAGTTTATAATCAATGCTCATTTGGACTTATAAATTACTTTACTGCTTTGTTTTTATTGTCTTAGGCTTCTTCTTGTTTTCCTAAATGATCCATATCAATTCTTATTTTGTGATTGTTTACACTTTACAATAGTGGCGAAAATCAGATAATAATTACAACAAAATACTGTAATAAAATGCAAGTGATCGTAGTTCATTTAGTTTTTGCCTCTGCGTAGAAGTTTTTCCACCATTGTTTTCAGGTCAAAATATGGTTAATGATAATATATAAATTACTAGAGTTGCCACGATGACCTCATTATGCATAATTTCCAATCATTAAGAAGTTTTTGTTCTTTTAAAATTATTGGCATTATCGTTTACCATTATATCACTTTGAGAGGTAACCTTGACAACATCTGTATGAAGGCTTGCCAGTCTGTAGGCTGTTTTGCCTTTAGAGTATTCTCAAACTTATGTCCAGAAAATGTTTTGCTAATGGCCCACTTTGGCCCAATCTACCTTCATCTGTCTTACGGCATTGCACTCTGGGGTGGATGTGCAGAAGTGGACTCCAAATGTTGTCATGTGTTCAAAATATATCACTCAGAATTGTTTTTAAATGGCCGGTGAGAGTCTTGTATCTTGTAGTGCCGTATGTAGGGAGTTGGGCATACTGACTCTTGCCTCCCTGTATATCCTGGTAGCAGTCACCCTTTCCAAATTTAATTCAGCCTAACTCAAGGTCAGGATGTACACTCATATCCTACATGGGACAGAGAACAATACATGTTAGCTGAAAAAAGTTCACGAGCAGCATTAAGCCTGCCCTCTCAAACAGGAGTGAGGTTACTGAATAGGCTCCCTGCAGTTATAAGGGAATAGAGGGATGAAACACAAGTTATGCTGCTACTAAAATGATTTTTGGTTGCCAAGGAATATATCACTGTGGGTGAGTTCTAACACCAACGAGAAGATGCGTTTTAAGCTCCTCTGGGGTTCTGAATCCATAAAATTCCGTTTTGTTTATTGATTTTATGTTCATTGTTAATTATTGATGTTATGGACTGTTTCTGTTATATTGTAGTGTCAACGGTCAGCATGCAATTTGTTGAATTGTTTTACGGAAGTTAAGATATTATTAGTGTTATTATTTCCATATTAGCTGCAATTTATTACACTAACACAAAATATACATGTCATTAAAACTGCAGTTTATTTGTTGGAAAACAATATTTTAACCGCATCATTTAATTGTTTGATCAAGTATTTCTCTAGGTACGACTATATGAACAATTTCAACTGTAATATAAAATTGAATACAAATGTTATATGGCTTCTTCACAAAAAGCATGCGTTTTTAAATTTTAATAGTAGTAAAAAAAACACAGTTGTGTTGACTAACTCAGCTGATCAGTCGGTCAGCCTGTGAGTCACACACAGTTCACCTGGTGACAATATCGAATAGTCGATAGTTTCAATGTTAGAATCGCTGAGCTCTGTCTGAGTCAGTCCAGTTCTGTCCAGCTGAAGCTTAGTTGCATTAGTGAGTGAGGCTCTGCGCGATGTCTGAGACAACTTACCACTTCAATGAAGAAGGCCGTAAGGAGGGAAAAAAGTGCATACGGGACTTGCCAGAAGTTGCCGGGGCACTCATCGTGTTAGCTATCTTCCTGTTTCTTGTTGTACACGGTAAGGGATGTTGTTTTATTTGGGATAATAGCTTTTCGATCATTAAGATATGCTAGTTGCTGTTGTTCTAGGATTGCCATGTAGCCGGTTTTCTGTTGTTGTTGCTGCTTTTCAAAAACGTGTCAGTGTATTGAAAAGGGATTGAAGCAGTAAATTGTCCCAAATTTAGAAACATTGAAGGAATAATCTTAAAAGTAACTCTAAAAATGTCAAGTTTTTTATTTGTATACTAATGATTAATAATCACAACTGCAGTAATAAGATATGTTGTTTATTAAAACACATATACTTTATTGTAGTAATTAGACTTGTGACAAAAAAGATTTTATATAAATGTATGCAATTAGTTCTCTGTTGAAGGAATACAATCTCAACCTTCCGTTCTAAAAGCAGGAATGTGTCTCTGCTTAGCTCAACCAAAATGTGACAACCCTGTGCTATTAATTTTCTGTGCTATATACCGATTGGATCAAGTAACTTATCTATGATTATTTTAAGTAAGTTAACATGTTTCATATGTTGGTTTACTGTATTTCGGAGCTGATCAACTGAACAAATACGTTAAGTCGAAACATGTCCATCCGTGTTATCCTGGTTAAAAATCCGTTTACTAACACGTATAACATGTATATTATGTATAATATGTTTTATTATACATTTGATCTTAAGTACGTCATAAACAGTGGTTTTTGACAGTCATGTCATTATCGTCAAAATGGACTGGGATTAAGAACATAAATATGCCATTGATAGTAAACACAAAATAATTTCTGAACTTCGATACTTGAAGCTTATAGTATTTTCCTTTTGATAAAACAAGTTTTATAGGGTAAACCATCTTACATTCAGAATGTGTTTTTATTCAATATACTTTCTGGGCTTGTGTACGGATGAATATTTCTTGGTTTGCGTCACACTAGTTATCAGGATAGTGTGTCCGTTTGGAGTTTCGTCGAAGACTCGTAGGTAATCAGTTGCTGAATCAGCTGCAGCTGTGGTTTTGCAAAAAAACTGCACTTTTACATCAGCAAGTAACCATTATAACGACTATTTTGACTCAGAGGAAAACAAACGTAATATCTACCCAACTTGTCGTGTAGGCTGGAATATTTTTTTTAAATAGGGAATCTTAATTATTTGTTTAAATACTACGGTGGAGTATTGGATACTGAAGTATACATCGCATATAACTGTATGTGTAGACTATCTGTCACCAATCTTTTATAATAAACAAAACATAGTTGTGTGAACTAGTCAAAGAATGGGCTCCTGTCCAAAGTTATATGATCTACCTTATTTTTCGTTGCTGACATAGTTTGTGGGACATGAAATTTGATGACTATACCTGACAATAAGTCGTTTCATCAGTTTGACTTGGTAAAAAGGTTCGTGAATTTGATGTAAGTTATCAATTTAGATCAGCAGAATCTTTTGGCGGCTTACATTACATACGATGATCATCATTCAAAAACTGGCATTAACTAAAAAATGGGGATGTAATATGTAGCTGTATCAATAATCAAAGATTCTTCACTACAATCTTAAATCTCAGTATTCAATCATCATGTGATTGAAGGGGTATTTCCTATCGCTCATGCTGGTTCGTGAACCCGAATATAGTTATATATCTTCGATATTTCATGATGAATTTAAATTTGTTCTATATGTAATCCATTTTGTGTTAATTTATCAATTTTGTGAGTTGAAGGGTTAATTTAAAAATAAAAAGCTGCTCAAAGTTTGTTCTGGTATCACAATACATGCACAGTACCACCTGCTTGAACCTCAATAGAAAAACAATCATGAAATAATAAATATATACAATGTGTAAATTATGTCTTGAAATAAATCTGTATTTTTTAAACCGAAATAGATAAAAAAAATATTCTGTTTGTGTCGTTGATTGTTAACAAAGGTTCCGTAATTGTTCACATCAAAAATATTTTTTAACCCCCCTGACAGGGTAGGAAGTAGGGGGTAACTTAATTTTTTTCATAAGACAACCCTATTGGAAGACCCCTCATTGTGAAGGGCAAAGGAAACACAATAACGCAAACCAGAGGTGGATTCTCACCCCTATCCAAAATGGCAGGTATTTTAAAATTTGATTAATTGTATGTGAAAAATCATCAATCCCACAAATATGTAAACAGATCATTATATTTAAAGCCGAATATACGTTTGACAAGCCCTTCAAAATTAAGGTTCACTCAATGTGGGTTGCTATTTGAAAAAAATAAGACACCCCGTACCCCCTACCAGGGCCTAAGATCTCTAGCCCTGACCCCTACCCTGTTAGTGGGGTCAAACAATTTTTGTGTGTAAAAAATTGTAGAACCTTTGTTAAGAATCAATGCTACAAACATAATATTTTTATCTTTTTCTGTTTTAAAAACTCAATGATACGAATTTTTGCAAAGATTTCAATAACCTTTTTACCGTGCCAAATTTACAATATTCATTGCATGAGCCTAGTCAACCTACTACGACTAACTAACGTGTCAACAATGAAAACTTAAATCAAATCCTATTAAGACTATATGTCAGCGGGAAATGATCGGATTTGAAATACGACTATTCAATTCGGGTCACGAATCAACCTATCAATTTTATATTACACTTTTAAGAAAAGAACATACATAGATCAACCATCCCTTTTAGGAAATATAAATGTAGCTTGTATTTTATAGTAATTTCATCTATGTAATTCCTCTGAACATTAAAGTTCCGTTATTATCTCATTAAGGTAATAGTATTGATATCTTGACAGAACTAAACCTCCCAATCCTATGATAAAGTTTTTGACAAAATTGAGAGAAATTGGACTTAGTTGAATGGAGCCACCGACAGAGTGTGCTGCTGTCAATTGCTGATATCTGTCAAAATGACAACATTTTAACCAAGCCATACTGGTAGGGTAATTTGTAAAATCTAATATCACAACTAACTATCACAGTATCAGAAATGGGGAGAGAAATACAATTTTTGCATCGCAAGCTGCGAGAGACTCGTTCGGTCCATGTAGATAACATGTCACTTCCGTCTATGAATGTCAATGGTAGGCCTAATAGAGGTATAAATAACGGTCTTCTTGAGTGTTAGTATAATACCACATGAATTAGGTTTGCAGTATATTATATACTTTAAAAATAAACTGCGAAAGCATTAAGTTGTTTTGTCAATGTCTTCACTTCAGAAAATATACGAGTAGTTAAACACACACCCAGGGTTCAGTTCCATTGCAGGAGGAAGCAAATTGAAAATTCAAGAAATCTTATCAGCTGCCAATTTTGACTCGTTTTGGTCCGTTTGAATTTAGGTTTGCAGTATTGTATTTACTAATAAAGATTCTTCCTTTCATTAAAACAATACAAATAATGTCGAAAAACATGGGTGTAAAATTCAGGTTTGCAAATTAAAGGTCTTTCGTAGTAGAATACATTGCCGCAAATTGTAGTTAAAAAAACAACTGAGTAAAAAATGGCAGACGTTTAAAGATTCAAAATGGCAGATTCAGGAAATCTTTGAACGGCTGCCATTTTTACTCATTAGTCCATACACAAAAATTTCCATACACCATATTTGTCCATATTTGTAGGTACCTAATCATTCTCTTAATATGTTTACCCATTTCACGATATAAAAATTAACCAACAGGATTTCAGAAATTTCAGGAATAGTGGAGCGCGACAGGGACAGAAACCACACGGACAACATCAACAGTAGCACCTATTATAATGAGCCGTAAGTATCAGCCTTATTTTAACTGCACAAAACCATTTGCAAATTTTCAAAAATCATTTTTTTTTACTAAACAAAAAACGTTACTTGTCGCATATCACAGTAAAGCTAATTTCATAACGAGTAAGAAAATTCTACCGGAGAAGGGCTAAATGCATTGGTATAGGAAACACAGAGTATTAAAAGATTATAGAAAAAAAAACTGCCGCAATTTTGAAACGGAAAAAGATAATTAACTTCTGTTTCGCCAAAATGTGTGTCTATTAAATACCTTTAAAATGATGTACTTACTTTCCGTGTCCGGAAATCAGACTTTGCTTTTCCAAAAATTAGCTACCGATTTGTTTTTGTCATTCGCTTGTAAGAGATCATCTAATATGCAAGACTGGTCTAGGCGTGGACAGAGCAGCAGATGGCCAGGATCCTGGAGGATTCAGGAGTGGTAAGTCTCCAGGTATTTAACCCCACATTGTCTCGAGTCGGAACTCTGTCTGCCAACAAGTCAACCGGATCGACGACGCATGGGGGCAGGCGATCAACAATGTCCCTCACAGAATCGCAGAAAAAGTTGTTAAAGTCGTCCGGGCTGGCAAAAACAACCTCACGTTTGGGTGCTGTACGGTGAATATTCATAAGGTCCCAGGCAGCCTTGCACCTGTTTGGGGCCTCCTCAATACACTTGGCATTATAAGCTTTCTTAGCTAGCTCCACCCTTCCCTTGTACTGTTTCTTTAAGAGCCAAGTACATCCTCCAGGTTGCGACCTCATTGTCTTCCCTAAACCTTTCCCTCCTTAAGATCCTTGAGTTCAGGCGAATACCAGTCTCCATATTTCACCTTGGGCTTTGGACCTCTTGTTGACAGTACATTTTCCCATCGTACACTTGATAAAGAGTCCCTAAAAAGTCTAGGGTGTGGGGATTTGAGATGCCTAGCCTTATTCTACAAAAATACGATAAGTGCCAAGAGGGCAAAGATTGACTCACCTCACTGTTCAGTTGACTGACGGACATTACCAAGGCTGCGTGATCATTTCCACCAGGGTCCACAACTTTGGTCGCTCTCTCATCCACAGTAAAGTTGGTGGCGATGTTGTCGAGACAGGATGGTCCTCTCGTAGGTTCAGTGCAGGTTGTATAAAGACCAAAGGATTTTAGTAGCCCAATGACAGTCTTTGCTCTAGGTTCATCTCCTAGAAAGTTGACATTGAAATCACCAGCAACGATGAGTTTCGTTTTAAGATTTCGTGTAAGGAAAGACAAACATCCCTTCAAGTAATCTAAAAAAATTGTTGAAGTTGCCGCTCGGTGAGTGGTACAGAGATACAACTACAGTATTTAAACACATAATATTTACCACTACTACTTCAAAATCAATTTCCACACAGAAGGAGGATAAATCAATCTCCTCAATAATCAGGGTCTCCCTCGCATAAATGGCCACCCCACCGCACCTTGAGTTAGCTCTACAAAAGATTTTAGCAAGCCTAAGGTCTGATAGCCTCCTATAGAAATCAACCTCGTCCGCTACAAGAAAGTGGTCAGATAAACACAACACGTCAATCATTTCTTCTTCGATAAGGATAGACAGTAGGGCTTGCTTTGATCTGATACTCTGTGCATTCCATGCCCTAAAAAAGGGTTTGACTGCTTGGGTAGGCCTACAGATTTTAATGTAAAATTTCGAATCAGTGCACCAGATGGCCAAAAAACAGGGCTCAGAACGTGATTTAACTGGTCAGAATGTAGGCCTATTTTAAAGGACCTATATGAGCTGTATTTGGTTTTGAGTTCATAACAATCAGCATCCGCTACACCTTGCCCACGCAAAAAGCTTAACACACTATCAGCATTTTCTTCCAATGAGATTCTAGACAAGAAGAGCCATGATTTGTTCGAGTTTGCCGTTAGTTTAGTTGACAGAGAGGTCTTAAGCCCTGAACTATCACTAGGCCTATTCCCTATTATTACCTTCTCAAACTCAGTGGATTTACTTACATTTGTACTCACATTTCTTTCAGATAGTTTTACAGCTGAGGGTATTCCTTTAAGCTTGTCCGCAAAAGATACAGTATTAGACACAGTGCTATTTAATATTGCATTATCTTCACTTTGACGATCACTCAATTGCCCGAACACGGAAGGTTGTCGATCATTTAGGTTATCCGTCAAGCAGACTTCATCATTTTCGACAAACAGGTATGGCAGTAATATTTGCAGAGACCGGGAGAACTGAAATTCCCTCCGACTTCTTCATCTCACCGTTTCCATCTCCCTCAACTTGCCTGTTCGCAGGGTCTCTGGCCACCTTTTTCGGTGTAAAGACGTCTGTACGCGAGGCCGACTCACCCTAGTCACACTTTTAGTGGGGGCGGTTGGTATCTTAGCACTGGCACTAGATCTAGTAGCAGACGAAATTTTCGAAACTTCCGCTTGCTTGGATAGAGTCACATGGTTTTTTTGTGTTCAACGGAGTATGATTCAGTGCAATTTGTTCCTTTGCTCCAGATTTACAGCCTATTTTATTGAGTATGGTGGAGTTTTGCAAGGAAAGACTCTCAACAGCTATCAAAATTTGGTTTAGCAAACTTTGTCAACGATTATTATCAGAGATACTGGAATTTGCGTTACTCACAGCATTTTTCGTGTTAGTTTGACAACCTCCACAAAACCACTTGATTTTCTCGCCTAGCTTTACAATCATGTCATATTCTCTTGCTAAAATCTTCACGCACTTTATGTGATACCAAATCTCACAAACACCATCACAACAAAGAGTTTTGTCAGTTTCTTTAACATTATGATTGCAGGTTCCACAAAAGACGTCTTTCCCGGTAGCCATCTTTCCCGCTAAAGTAGTTTTTATTGTCTTAGTAAAAATAAAAAAACTATACAAAAGTCAACAAATATTATTTACTAAGAATTTTCTTTTGAATATTGTATAAATTTATTATTCGCCCTGGTTTACCGGTTTGGAGGCGTGAGAGAAAGGCCCCTCCCCATTACTCCAATGGATATTTCAAACAAACCCGTATTCTACCTGTCAGACCCCCGGATCAGTTTGGGTGTCCTAGAACTACCCTCTGACCACATATCAGTTGTGATGCAGCCATTGGTCTCGAGGTTCCGAGTTCGATCCCCGCGAATCACCGCCGTATTGTGTGATAGTGCCGCAAAATTCTGGGCCCTTGCGAAAAGTACTGTTTAAACCACTTTCGGGCCAGAGTATTCCTCCTTAAGTAAACCATTTTAATATCTAATTTATAATAGTAAAAATGGCAAACTTTATCCCGGTTCAAAAAAAATCACTTAAAGCCCCACAATAGCTACGCCTACACATACACTATGTTTTAAAGTAGTATTTTTACAAAAATAGGTAAAAATCACTTATCTCAGCACTGAAGTAGCATTGCAACTGCCGACACATCTTACTACTTACTTACAATTTGTCGGCAGATTGTTTTCAAATAATCTTATTGGATATTATTATACGTATTTTTCTTAAAAATACAAACTAAGACTTAAAAATATACTACATAACGTTAACTGTTTCACTATTGCAAAACATTCTATGAATAGTAGTTGCGATGTGAAAGAATAAAATTTAAAACTATCTGTAGGTACTTTTGCAGACCATTCTAATACACATGAGGCCACATTAAATTTAGCTTTTTTTTAGTTGCATCTATATTTATTGACTGGATAGATACAAATTTTACAACGTGATTTATCTGTAATAATGCATATGTTAATTTCAGGCTGTTCATCGTTGGGTACTCCTGCAAAAACGGATGCAATTGGTCCACACCTTATATCCAGTTTGGCTCCTACGACTCGAGAAAGTTGAGCCCTACCAATACCAGCTCAACTTTTGTGAATGTCGATGGAAGTCTCGGCCCTAAAGACTATCCTCGTCTAGGATCTTTAGATTTTGATTATGAAGATTATGAAGAAGATCGCATTATGACGGAAAGTGAGAATGATAACGTGATTGATACGACTGACAACTCTTCTAGTTTAAATGCGACTTCTGCAGAAAATGCCAACGAGAATGTACTCCGCCCTGTGGATATCATTGGACCCACTAACAAAAACGTAACAGCGAGTCATACCATCCCTGAAAATCAGAACGATTCCACCTTCATATTAAAAGACGAAAGTGACAAAACCATCGAGAGCTTTGACAAGGACACTCTCTAAATGTCCCTTCGAGAAATCTGCCTCTGCTAAAGTACCGTATTCAACATTCACCAAATGTTTTGCTTAGTAGTGTGGTATGTAGCTTATTAGTTTAGTATATAGCTTAGTAAAAACTCTATAACATAGTAGTGTAGTAAAGCAAACTTAGTAGAGGCAGTTCTATTAAATACTAAATAAACTTAGAATAAAAAGGGTTTAATAATAGTAGTCAACCCTACTGAAAGATTGATCGAGAATTTCAAAATAATTATTATTATATAAATTTTGTGATTAGGCTGCGTCTTTTCCTTTTAATGTAGCTTACAGTACTAGTAATATAAGAAATTAAAAAAGTATTTTACGGCAATGAACAGTTTTTTATCAATTTTTAATCATTAATAATCGTATTTTCCAGAGGGGTGTGTATGTACCATATGTATTGTGTAATTTTAAATAGTTTCCAGTGTTTAAATGCTATTCAGTGTTACATTTTATCTTTTTGGTTTACTCCTCGTAAAGTGTCTGGTATAAAAATATTATCAATTATTTAGTAGTTTGTCGTCGTGGAAATAAGAAGAAGGCTCATAAAGGTATTCAAATTATCTTAACATTTATTAGTAACCAGGAGGCTATAACAAGAACACGAAATCAGAGTATTTAAAAAAGTAGTTTTTTGCACGCAATTTTATTCATACAAAATTATAAAAGGCCCTTCTTGTTGATACGTTTACCCAAAAACTAATGAATAGTGGGAGATTTACATTGCAACCCAAGTCAATGCCAAATACAGCGATATGTTTATTTAATTTTGTTTACGTTTTAATTTTTTTATAAATATAAAATTTGTTAAAATTAGGGTAAATCTCTTAAAAACTGAACTACTACTACAAAATTCATTTTGTTAAATAGTTTTTATGATCATGCAGTTTCCAAGTTTTTTTCGGCGACATTACCAAACTTATTTGGCCGTTTACACTCTTAACTTAAACATTTTTTACTATTATAGATTCGACACAAAACCGAATCAGTTTAAATAGATTCCGGTCCATCAAATACAATGTCTAAGCTTTTGAGGACCTCCATTTAAACGATTTAAAAAACGAAAAACAATATTCTGAATATAGCATGCACAAAGTATGCAACAAGAACAGTATCGGTTTTACGTTGACAAGTAATCCTTTTGGACGCATAAACCAATACTTTGACGAGTAAAGCACATCATTAATTTCGGACAATTTTGAATAAAAAATACAGCTAACATAGGTCTAGACGATTCTCTGAATTTTTGGAACTGTCTTTAACCAATCTACAAGCGTAAATTAATCACTTTACATTTAAATCTATGAACAAACTCGCAAAATACAGTGTTAAGGAAAATCCCCAATTTGCCAAAGTCCTCTACAAATGAAAGTAATTACAATCCAAGGATTACGAGTGACATGGGTTTGAGTAATAATTAGCCAACAGATTAAATATTAATAATCAACACGTTTGATCAACATAGCTCCTGGTTGCTTCGTTTGGGTTTCTTGTTGTATTGACAAGATCACAAGATAGGCAAAACTTACTTTATATTACTTTAGGATACGTTTTCTGTTAAATTTTAAATGTTTGAGAGTCAAAACTGCAGTGAATTTATTATGTTATGTAAAAATACCTTTGACACCTTCTTTATAAATACATATAACATTGTTGGCGAAATTCAATAGACGTTAATTAAAAACTGTACTGGAAGATGTAAAATTCTGTTAGACATGTTGTGTTATTGTACTTCTTTCTGTTATTTTGATTAGTTTGCTTTATGTAGTGTATTTAAAAAATTTAAAAAAGTAAAAAAAAAATAAAATAAGAAAATGTAATAAAAAATATAAAATGAAAAAATGTAATAAAAATGTAAATAAAAATTATAAAAAGTAGTAAGGGTTTTTAATGCATCCCTACATTTACAATTATAATTTAAATTAATTTAGAATAATGAGAATATTCAGCAATTAGCTATAATACACATTAGTTATTGACCAAGAACAGTCAATTCGTAAAATCAACAATACTACTAACAAAAAGACTGGGATATTCCAAGGCCAGTTGGAGTTAAATGAAGTTTTTGCCATGTGAAAAAGACAATCCTAAGGGTTGGGTTGATGAGAAAACACATTCTTTTTTATTATGTATACACTAACCTAATAAAAAAATTTAAAACTAAAAAAAAAGAAAAAAATAGAAAATGTAATAAAAATTATAAAATAAGAAAATGTAATAAAAATAAATTTGAAAATTAGAAAATGTAATAAAAAAATCTAATAAAATTACAAAAAATCTCATTTGCTTTCAATTTATTCCAATATGTACACATATATTCACATAAATTAAAAACAAAGATAATATTCTGTAATTGACTAAAATAAAAATTAGTTATTGACCAAGAACAGTAATTTCATCAAATCAACAACACAATTAAATCAAGGCTGGGATATTCCAAGGTCAGTTGGGATTACTGTAAAATCATCTTTTTTTGTGATGTGATACAAATTATACACTCTATGGTTAGGTACTATAACAAGATTTACAGCTAAGATTTGGAAATTTGAATACGTAGAACCACAAATATTTTTAGAAGAAAATGTTCCTTATAATCATTTATTTTATGATAGTGTGGGGCTTGTAAATATTAGCATCCCCCTCATTCTTGGAAGGGCTAATACCCCAACTCTAACTTCACTAGCCTGATATGGTTAAGTGTAGTAATTTATGATATGTTCAAATGGTCAGACCATTAAACTAACTCAACTCTATGTTACTCGGATGTAAAGAATAAATCTTCCAAAATGTTGTGATACATCTAAACTTACACCCCAAACAACTATCTGAAGTGTAGGTTTGTCAGAAAAAAATGTTAGGAGTTGTTTTTTGTGCAACTAGTAAGCGAAGCAACACTATTTCAAAGAAGGGAAAATGTTATCGTAAATTTGAAATATTTTTACTTTACAATTTGCACACACAATATATATTATATTGCGTCTTGTGTTGTTATAAAAATGTAAGGGTTAATTGATTTCCTCAAAAACACATAATTAAATATGACTGACCACTTTATACAGACAGTAACTATGATCAGTGTACACAAAGCTATGTTCGTTGTCAACATTAACTCATATTATGTTACAACGACAAAATCTTACTTGAGTAGTAAAACATTAGTTTAACACAACAGTGTCCAAACAATTAATCGAAAACTGTTTTATCCTCAAACAACATTTTTCTATATATTTACTACTGGATCAGAATTGATATAATTTATATACGGGGAATGGTACCCCAATCAATTTTACCCGCAACCAATGCGGATTAATAATTAAAATAAACTTAAGATGGATAAATATTGTTTATTCAATCAACAATCAGAGTGAAGATAGTAAAATTTTGTAAAATCACCTGTTTTGCGAACTAATTTAAATGGGTAAAAGTCACATTTTAAGACAACTTTAGCCACACTAATATATTACCACTAATATTACCACATTAATACATATAATAGCACTGGCCACTAAATATTTGGATATTTTGCGAAGATATTTTGCTCTTTACCATTATTCCCAGGAGGACTTATCCATATCGGCCTTCTAATCTTTGCTATGGACAAAACTAGGCACTTTGAAAGCTCTTCAGTCCGAAGTCTGGTAGCAACGAGTGCTTCAAGATTTGATCTCTGACGCCAGCGACATCGAAGAATTGAAGAAATATAACAAGTAGGAGACAAGAATGATCTCATCCATACAGTACAGACTTTGAGGGCCCAAATCCTTAAAATCTGGAAAAGGTACAGTAGGGAGTATACGTCACCATTAAGATTAGTAACAACCAAATATCAGCACTATTATCCTCGTATTTTGAAAATATACTTTTTAAGAAAACATCTTTAAGCATGGAAATTAGAACAGACATCGGAATGGATCCTAAAATAAATAAATTGCGATACTTACTAAATATAAAATAATAATCAAAATATTTGAATTTGTTGACAGTTTCATTGTGTGTCCAGTGACTATTCGTTAATGTGTATGATCGGTACTAATCTCTATTCTAATATCCAAGTATAGTTAAAAAAAACTAAATAAATTTGTCTACCGATGGGTTTTTTTACCATTTTAGGACCACAATTAAATTACCGATAGGAAGTATGGGTTGGATCTAGTGCACTAATTGTATCCCATGAAGTAAAAATCATATTTTGAATTGCATAATAATGTTTGTATGGTGTGGGTTACTGAATTGTTCGTTGTTCTTCAGCCATAGATACAATACATAAATATGAAATTAACGATGAAAATGTTTTACAAACACTAATATTTTGACCATTAGTTTGAAATATAGTATTAACCCTGTGCGATTATACTCTATATGAGAATATTTTAATTTATTATCAAGTCATAACTTGTTTATATGTGTACATTGTACCATTTAACCTAATGTTATATGATAACTAAAATCATAAATATACAGACATAGGGCGAATCGCGTAAAGTGGTATCCTGATTGATTTAAGTCAAACTGTTGGTCTTACAATCATCAAATAAGATTTTCCCTCTAAACCAACCCCAAGGAATAAAGTAAAAATACTTAAAATGTTTGTTGAATACATGATATACTTAAGCCAGGGGTTCACTAGTTCAAATCTCACATCAGTTTAACACTACTTGATCATTCCTACTTTCTTCTGTATATTGATTTTAGATTGTACTTTAAAAGGTAATTTTACAACAATATTGAGATAAATGTTTTAAGGAAACAGTTTCATAGTTAAAACTTAAAAATGTTATGTATATTATGTCAAACTTCATATGATTTTAAAGGTATCGCAATTCCTAAAAACCTTCAGATTCAAACCTTATCCGTATATCTTATATGTTCAGATTTATCACCTAAAACATGTTTTTCCTACATAAAACGCATTGTAAAATACAAATAGTAAAATAAAATAATCAAGCAAAATACGAAATAATACAATACACAATTAATTAAAATGTTTGATTGATACTAACTGTAGTACAGTGA